ACGTCCACAAAAAACAACTGGCTCATGAATTAATCGGCAAAAACACCATGTGAGTAGATACCGAACCATGTAACTATTTACGGTTGCCGTAGTGCATTATGCTGCGAGCATGAAATGAAGTAAGCAAGTTTGGCAGTGTAACATTCAGCTAGCTGGCTAGCTAGTTAACGTCAGCCAGAAAATAGTCCGCTAGTTGTGTTCAAAATACATGACATGGAGATGGTAAAAGGCTGGGCTGTGTTGGTGGCTAGCTAGCAAGCACTGACGGACAGTGTAATTGGTACAGGCAAAACTACAAACTGACAAACGAGCTGTAGCTGGTCTGTCGTTATAACTAAGGATGGGAGACCTTGCTGGCTAACATTAGTTGGCTAACATTAACATAAGTTGATAACGCAGTTTCACAGTATGTCTGTGCTAGCATATTGATTAAATAGCTAGCCAAGTACACATGTGCGTGATATATTTTGACCGTTTTAGGCTACTGCAGCATATGTCTGTGGGACAACACAGGAACAATTCGGTTGCCTTATTCTTGCAGCAGCACATTTGCTTGGCTAGCAACTGTAAACAGCTAAATGTAGCTAACCTTGTTTACTGCCACTGCGACGTGAGATGAACTCGTGGATGATGGGGAGTTATCAGTAAAAGATGGGAAGGATGAGGGGATTAAGAGGTGTAATCTGGCGGAGGAAGATCGCTAATTTCAACTAAACCTAGGCCGGGTTACCCTGACTGCAGGCTTAACAATGTAGGCAGGTTGTCGATTGATTGAATAATTATTAATACATTTTTACAAAATATTGGGTGGGCACGTGCCCACCTAATTTGATTGGCACGACACCACTGGGCCACATGTATCAACGGTGCGTACCCACTAAAATCGTGCTGAGCACTTTTCTACACATAAAACGGTATTTATGAAAAGATACTTGCCGGGGAAACATGCGTACCTCTGTGCATGGTGTCGAGGTGGCGTACACGTAAAATTTGTAATTTGCAGATTGGCGACACCAAGAGGAGCTAACGGTGAAACAGGTAAATGGGTCTTGTCATTGATGAGTGTTATTGCGCATGCATTGGTCCATGTGAAATACTGGTTTAACTGTAAACTGTGAACAGACATTACGTCAGACATTATGTGACTGTCAATTTGGCATTATTATATTAACATTGTAATTGGGCATTGTAGTCAAAAAAATTAAAATGTCACAGATCACCATGTGTAATCAAACATTTTTAATGAGTACTCCTATATAACAGGCTCATTTACAACGTTTACCCAGCAAACACCACTGCACTGGCCCAATGCAGGCAAAATATTGGCCCAACATGGGCTGCCCACATTGGGCCGATTGGGATTTGCACATCGGCGCGATATCGGCCCCGAGGCATTGGCCCAATGTGGGCAGACCGTTGGCAGCCCGCAACAGTTGTGGGCAGCCCTTATTGAACCCTCAATAAGCCCGTGTTTTGATCGGCTGCCCTTACTGGGCCCCTATTGGGCCCTATAGAGCTTATAGTTATGGCCCAATGTGGGCAGCCCACCGTATGCCAATATATCACTTTATTTTTTCTTTTTCTATTTTTTTTCCTTTTTTTATTATATCATAGGCCTAATTAACCAAATACACAATCTGTGAAGAAAATATAATTGTCATAATTTTATTGTGTAACTAGTTCTTTTGAAATAGAAGAATGTCCAGTGTATCTAAACTATATATTACCATTAAAAACAAGTACATATTTTCATGTCAGTATCCTTTTCTAAACAAAGTGTGTGGGCACTATGTCTGTAGGCATACTTACGCAGTGTTTCCCCCAGTAATATAGCTACACAGGGCCAGCTCCTAAGCAAGCTACTATAGTTGAAAATGTAAAAAATGTCAATTAAATGATCCATTATGATAAATAAATCCTATTAACAGTGACATCTCTTGGGTAAAACAAACACACTGTGTTGCAAGGTTGTAATCGCGGACCCAGGGGAAGAGGAACAGCTGACAGTCTATCATCTTACAGCAAAAGACAAGATACCAATGATAGCTTAAGAAAATTAAATAGATAGAAACTAAACCATATTTATTTTAAAAGTAAAGATTTATTGTATGTTTTAAAAAACAACAAATTCATACACATTAAATAAAGAACAAGATAATCATGATATTGTGATATAAGGACTGTGTGAATGCGTGTGTATCTGTATGTGTGTCAGTATTTGTTCATTCCTATAGATAACAAATTATTATTATTATTATTATTAGGCTATTATTTTATGTTTTTTTTTAATTGACAATAAACTTTATACAGATCAAACAAAAAATGTCCAATTCAAATGTTATTTAAAACTCTAACTATTCAAACACTAAAACTAAAACTGGTTTTGTGGCTGGTTTTGCCCTAAGGAACGAGCAAGTCTTTCTTTGCGTCCACCGCATATGTCTCGGGCGTTGCGGAGCTGGAGTTTTGCCACGTTTTTTTATTACTAAGTCCTGTGGCACCAGGTTAATTCCCCTCCTTCTTACAGCATCTGTGAAAATAATAATACATCATGACACATGCACACACCTTCGCCCTGCCTAGAACAGATATGTTGGGAGATGTATGGTTCTTAGAATTAGGCCTAAACAACTCTAAGGTAAAAGAACATCTTGTTGAAGTACAAAATAACTTACCACGCAGGACCCGGGAGAGTTTGAGGCTCTGAAATGCCATCTTTCCACCATGTCCCACCCAGTTGAGTTTGATGGCCAGCTCATTGGTGAAGATTGTGGCCATCACCCGCCTTGTACTGGTCTGAACGTCAATGCCACCAATTGTTCCTAGGTAGAGAACCTATAATGGATAAATATAATGTCTGAGTAAAAATACCTGTGAAAAAATGCATTTCAGTGATTGAACACAGATTTGGTGGCCCATGCAGGTGTAAGGAGTAGTTAGAGGCAATGATATAAACTACATCCTTATTCCTTATTTCAGAAATAAAAAAAAGAATGAATACAAAAAATAGTGCTATAGCACCTATGGTGTTTGGACCCCAAGTAAAAGTAAAGCTAAAAAAAAGGTTCGAGTAGATTTACTTTTTTTAATAATAACAAATAGCAGAGCAAAAAAACTATAGGTTGATGGCAGCTTCACTGTTTGGACCCCTAGTAATAAAAAGCAACTGTTTGGACCTCTAATCATCCATTCCTTCCCCCTTGTTTTGATATTAAGGATGTTTTGCTGGTCTGTTAATTTATATGATACTTTTGAGTTCAATAGTTTTTTTTACCCACCAGTTCCTGTCTGCACTTCTTGTCCTCAAGTTGTGTCTCCAAACTCCTCTAGGGTTCTCAGCGGCAGAGTGATGCCCTCTGGCAGACACATCCCGGTATTGTGGGCTTTGGACAAGTTCATCAACATTTTCTTAATAATTGCCAACTCCTGCTTTATCTCCTCCAGGGAAGAAACAACATACCGGTCCCGTGCTGAGAATACATAATTGATACTGATAAATTGTTGTGGAAAGGGAAAGGGAAACAAAAGTGAATAAAAATGAAAATAAGAAAATGAAATTTTTAAAAAAATTAACTGTAGTTTCAAATATTACATACAGGAGATAATGAGGCAGCTCTTCAAAGAAGCATACATAATCTACAATGTGTTTATTAATGGCTCAAATTCCCCATTCAGCCCCTTATTCAAATATGCGCATGGAGCTTTCTATTTAAATCCCCAATAGATTTACCAGTTATTTGCTCTGTTGCAGATGAGCGACGATTGATCAATGGCTCGGTGGGCTGGCTCATTGTCTCAGTAAGAGAGTCCACTGTGAAAGTGAAGGAGAGGAAGAGAGGAGGTTCCATCACTGTACAATTTCAAGAGGATCAGAACAAAAGACAATAGGAGTGCAGAGCCTTCTCTTTAAGTTCCCAATAATAGATATACCTGTTATCTGCTCTGCTCTCTGCTGTATCTCAGGCAGAGAATCCACTGGTGAAAGCAGCAGAGAGGGTGAGGAAGAAGAAGAGAGGAGGTTCTATCATGAGGATCAGAACAAAAGACAATAGCAGTACAGAGCTTTCTCTTTAAATTCCCAATAGACATACCTGTTATTTGCTCCGCTCTCTGCTGTATCTCAGGCAGGGAGGCCACTGGTGAAAGTTGTGGAGAGGGTGAGGAACAGGGGGTGGGGCTGCAGGGTTTGGATGTTGCATTTGACCTTTCTTCTGTGCAGGGGTTTTTATAATTAGAAAAGGAAACGGGGCGTGGAAGTTTAGGGAGAGACTGCTGAATTGGAAAGGCTGCAATATGTTTTCTTTTGGAAATCAGGCCAGGCTCTATTTGATGGTATCGTTTGCTGGGCCTAGGAATAACAATGAAGATGGCAAACACAATTTTTATCATTAGATTGTAATGGATACAGGGAAGCAATTATGAAGTTAAAAAAGAAGGCAGAAGTTTAAAAACAAAATATTGTTATTGCCCCTCTGTATTATCCAGGGATACATTTACATATGCAAACCCCTTCTTGATCGATCCCCTTGCTGGAGATCCTTCTCAGATTCACTTTGAAGACTTGTTTTCCTCAACAGCTTTTGCCTTGTCCCTTGCCTTCATATAGTTATCTGTAACACATAAAATGTTGAAAAATGTCTTTGATGATCAGGGTAGAAAGCATTTGATAGATTGTGTCTTTGATAATGAGGTAATTCATAACAATTCTTAAGAAACTGAATAGATATTAAGTGGATTTGATTACCTGTTGAGTATACAATTTTGATATGGTAGGGAATCCATGAAGCTTCTGGCTCTGTGTGGTTGATGACAGCTTTTTTATTTTATAAATAAATGGATTGCATTTATATATATGCTTTTCTGCTCATTTGAGTACTCAAAGCGCATTACAATTATATGCCACACATCTACCTACCAGTGGCAGAGGCTGCCATACAGGGTAGCAACTGGCCACTGGGAGCAGTTGGGGTTCAGTGTCTTGCTCAAGCACTTCGACATTCTGCCAGGAGGAGCCAGATTCGAACTAGGGACCTTCTGACCCCCAGTCAACTGCTGTACCTCCTGAGCCACTGTCACCCCCGTTTTATCCGGGCATTTAAATGATGGCAACACCAACTTCATTTCTTCCCGGAAAATCAGCCACCACGTAGAAGTAAACCATCTTCATGAACAGAAAAAGGAAAAATAGGTGCATGATTATGAATCTGAATCTTCATTATTTGAAAAATGTGCATTGAAAAGACAAAAATCAAAAAACTATGCAACAGTGGGGTGCCAGCCCATGAGGAGGAATTGATTGGGAGAAGGACACATTTCTTTTCAGTGTCCTGTCTCTTGTGCTGATGTTCCAGACTTTGAATAATCCAGTGTCCTGAGTATTCATGATATTTGGGTAGAGCGATTCCTGGTTCCTGAATCTTCAGAAAGTGATGTGTGTTTCCTGGCCTTGCTCTGACAGGGAGATATTCTGCACAAGCCCCAACTCTCCTTTCACCATGACACAGTTGTCTCCTGTCCGAGTAGAGATAGAGAAGTCTTTGAGACAGGCTTTCTGGTAGTTCTCTGACTGGAAAGTTGTGGAGCCTCCAGGTTGCCTTTCCGCCAATCCCATCTTTTTGATTTCCTTCTTCTGCCCTGAAAATTCTCTCTTTAGCTATGCGCCATACAACTTGTTGTTGTGGTTCTCAAAGGGGAATGCTGATACGCCATCCAATGTCCTAAATCTTTTAACATCATCAGCTAGGTGTGTTAGGCTGTGCATGTTGTAAACAATTTCCTCCCTTCCATATAGTGATTCATATTGATCCAAAAAGCACTTAATTAGGCTGTCAGCGTAATCGCAGTAATGAGCACAGAGACTGGGACAGAGCATCAGGTACATGGCAATTGACAAGAGGAGGAAGTGGTTGTAAAACTGAAGTGGAAGGCTCCCTTCAAATACAACTGGGCCTGTATACGGGAGGAACTGACGGAATTCAATTGCTTTCCAACGGTTAATCTCTAACAGTGACCTTGGTTTTCTTGCAAACTCGCAGGGGATGTATGTGCGAATGGCCATGAGATATTCTGAGATGCCCCTGACTGCCTGAGAGCCGAGCCTACATGTCAGATCACCTTTCAGCCAGAATGTCAGCAACTTTCTTGTTGCCTGTAAAATGTACTTGCATCTTGATAATATGGATTTGGAGTTTCTGTTTAATGAGATGGTATAAACCCCTACCAACATATTATCGTAGATTTTTAATTTATTATTCTTATGAATCTAAATTTGACAAAACAAGAGGTATTTCATTTCGGCATATTAAGGTTGTGAAAGTTTTTTTTAGTGTAGGACTCTTTACTTCTTTGACTACATCTTAAACAATAACATGCGTAATCATGGAGAATTGTAAATAAATCAGTCTCACAAGCAAAAAATGCATAAATTTCATTGTCCTATGTCACAACACACCACTTGCTGATGAGGTCTTCTGTGACATCACTGACTGTGTGTAGAGTTCCTTGTGTTGCCATGTTTGTCATAGATGGATGGAGACAGGGACAGATGGCTTCCTTCCTTCCTTCAGACGTAACTGAGCTGTCTATGATGAATCATGCCTTGTGTAGTTCAAACCACTTGATGGATGCCCAATGTAGCGGGCCCTTTGCCATGGCTAGCCTCCACTAGGAAACTCCAGTTTACAGCAGTGAACTCCATCTGGAATGGAATGGTGTGTTCTTTCTTCCTTACTGCATTGTTGGGCCATCAGTAATTAACAACAGTTAATTACAACAATGATGTTGTAATTAACATCATTGGATGATTGTCCTGTTGGAACTGAAAAACAGGTTATTTGCAGAGATGCAAGATACTCAATAAAAAATTCAAATAACTTTATTGAAAATGATGTACAATGTAGCAAATTATGTACTAGAAATTACATGTGATGAAAACTATTATCCTTTAACCATATAACTTGAACAACAAGACTGAATTGGGTACAGGCTTGGTGTTTTCTTGATAAGTGGAATCCCTATGTTCCATTATTCACTGATTGGTGGCTAGGAAGTGCTCAAAGGCCACTGCAGTATCTTCACGTCTTCTTATTCAGGGAGTATTGACGTTCCCTCCTGGTAGTGGCTGGGGCTGGGATAGCACAAAGCACATGGATGACATCATTTTAAATAAAGTTATTTGAATTTTTTATTGAGTATCTTATTCTATTTTAAATATGGGATATAAAATTTAACCACTCCATTGAATATGGCATCTATCAGAGTTAATGCCTTTATCTATAATGAGGCCCTGACAGTAAAGAATATAGCTTTCATTAATGACCTATAGTAAAATGAGCCTACAGAAAACATGTATTTTTTTACTCCAAACAATATTTCAGAGGCTGGGACACACATAAGTAGAGATAATAAGGGAAGACCCTGCATCTTCATTATGGACGTTTTTTTCCTAGAGGTAAGATAATGCCTTTAACTATGTGTATTTATCTATGAAAGAAAAACGGAAGGACATTGGCACTCTACCCTTAATAACCATACATCAAGCAATTTCCGTGTACATTTGTATGTTCCTACTAGCTACCCCACATACCATTTTGGTCCTATGGAAATGACCAAAATATGCTACCATGCCTCGTTTTATTCATATCTTCATGTCCACTGGTGATGGAGACTTCAAATATTGGCACAAAATTAATAAAAGATTGTATTTGCAGAAAAAAGATTGATGATATATTGGTGCAAAAATGTGGGTTTGTAGTACCCTCAATATCACTCTTGTTTAGGAATTTTGCACTTTTTTCCAAATCTAGCGCCTTATAAAAATAAAATGGCATGCAGTACAGGCTTTTAATGGTTTTGCAATACACAAAACATGTTTGCCTTCCATCCTACAAAGTTTGGTGAGGCTAGGAACAATACTTGTCAAGATATTAATGCCCAAACATGGCTTCCCAGATAAGGTGTTTTTGAGGCTATAAAACTGAAATAATATCAAGGGCTGAAAAAATATGAAAACATAGGATTTGAACAGAAATATTTTACAGGCCTTGGTTTTGGGACCCATTCATGATATAGACAAGGTTTGAACAAAATCTGAGATGGTGCTGCAACAACCTTGTCTGATTTGACATGGAATGACCCATGTAGCTTTCTGTTACTGCACAACTGCACTAATAGTAATAGAATTTATCATATGTTTGAACAACATAATTTTGTGATTTTCAGTTGTGACAGGAACAACAGGGACAGGATTTTTTCCAATTATTTTTTATTTTATTCATTTTTTTAATTCAGTTAATTTTTTTAATTCATATTTAAATTCATATCATCTTCCTTTTGGAAGATATCAGTATGCTGTTTTGAATGAGACATGACAAAATTGGCAAAAATGTTTTAGGTATATTCATGTTAACATAAATGTAAGGATATGTAGTGGGGACAACCATCTCCCAATAGAAAGTAGGTTGTGCTGATTTTGTAGAACTTCATTGTCTCTAATATCTTGGATTATATTATATCATAACAAGCTTTAATTATGTATATAACGTTTAAACACCAAATTGTTTTTTAAAAGTACTTTGCTTAAAGGGGGACTACAATTTGCACTGCTTCTGTAGAATTACCCATATAGCAATGTCACTGTAGCCAGCTGGTTAGTGTTAGCAGACATAGTATCCATTAGCACAAATTACCCTGACAGACATTAATGCTGGACATACAACGATTGTGAAACATTGTCTTTCTTACATATCTTTACATTTTTTCTCCTTACCATTATCATAGCTGGAATTAGCAATTGTAAGCTGGCCTTTTTTCTGGTTAACGTGCTACTTGCTAGCATGACAATATTGGCTACCTGGCAGAGCTTAATTAGTGTGATTGCTTTGCAAACACACTATTGTTATCTGATAGTTTTATTACACACTATTGTTATCACCAAAGGTGGGTGTGTCCCTAGCAACCATATTGTTTACCCTAGCAAACGCCTAGCAACACCCAGGCAACCACCCAACAACACCCTAGCAACCACCTCATATACCTTAGTAACCATCTAGCCACGCCCTAGCAACCACCTTATATACCCTAGCAACCCCCTAGCAACAGCCCAGCAACCATCTAGTAATGCCCTGACAACCACTTAGCAACCACCTAGCAACCAATTAGCAACACTTTGGCAACCACCCAGCAACGCCCTAGCAATGCCTTAGTGACCATATTGTTTACCCTAGCAACGACTTAGCAACACCCTGGCAACCACCCAGTAACGCCCTAGCAACCACCTCATATACCTTAGTAACCATCTAGCAACGTCCTAGCAGCCACCTAGCAACAGCCTAGCAACCACCTAGTAACGTCCTGGCAACCACCTAGCAACAGCCTAGTAACCACCTACCAACTCCCTTGCAACCACTTAGCCACATCCTAGCGATCGTCTCATATACATTAGCACGTTTTCACTGCCGGGTCACAATCGCACTCTACATTTTTGCAGGAAATGCACTTTTGTAGTTGCTGATGACATCGCAAATTCACAGCGGTTGACCTGAAGTGGTAGTCAGTTACCAAGTTAGCCATCAGGCTAGCTGGGTTATCCAGTTGGGTAAAGCAACTGAATATAATAAATACAGCTGGCAAGCAATGCTTGTTTTAATGCTTGCTAGGGTGCTGACTGATTTAACATTTGCAATATGAGCAAATTAATCAACCAAGACTGGATGGCTTGGAAAGATTATGGGTTTCTAATATGTTAGCAGGCTTGGCTAACACTTGTAACAGAAATACTAGTTCAATCCAAATTGACTTACCTTTCAGGGGGACAGGTGGAATACAAAATTGGAAGTGGTTCCAAATTTGTCTACAGTTTTTCTTTTACAGGTTGTGTATACTGCTACATATTGCTTATGGGTGTTTTTGCATTTTTCCAGATCATTGATAAAGAGGTTGATGGGTAAGAGACCCTTGAAAATGATAAATTGTAATATAATAATGTACACTTTAAACAGTGTAATGTACTCCATGTTCATTTTGACAATCAGCCAAAGTTCAAATCCAAGTCAGGTCACAAGTTGTGAAAATCAT